GTCTGCTATCACAAATGTATCTGAGAGATCCAACAATTTGTTTATAAAGAGTTGCATCTACTTTCTTCTCACTTGCTTGATCAGTTAGGTGCAGGTTTGCCATTACTGGTATAGGAGCACTGTTACAGTTCCCCATATTGAACCTTTTTAACACTTCATTTATATATCTTTTCTGGTGAAGAAACATTCCATCTTCTGTCTGCACAAACTCCAAGCCCAGAAAATAACTCAGATTGCCAAGATCTGTCATTTCAAACTCTTCCTTCATTCTCCTTTTGAATTCTTCAATCTCATCTTCTGAATCTTCAGTTATTATCAGATCATCTACGTATAGGCAGATTATCAGAATTCTTTCCTCTATAACAGATCTTACATAGATACCTGATTCCACAACACATTTCTGGAACCCGAGTCTGATCAGCAACGAGTTGATGTGATTATTCCAAGCACGAGGTGCCTGTCTGAGCCCGTATAAGGCTTTATTCAATCTGTAAACTTTCTGCTCCTCTCCTTTTTCACAAAACCAGGAGGTTGTCTCACAAATACTTCTTCTTCTAGTGGTCCATTCAAGAAAGCTGATTTAACATCCATTTGGCAGACTTTCCATTTTTTAAAGTTGGCCACAGCAATTACTAACCTCACGGTTTCCAGCCTTGCCACAGGAGCAAAAACATCTGTAAAATCAACTCCAGGCTTTTGTAGGAAGCCTTTTGCCACAAGTCTGGCTTTAAACTTTGCTACCTCTCCATTTGGTTTATACTTGATTTTAAACACCCACTTAACATCAATGGAGTGTTTATGTTGTGGCAATTCTACCAGCTCCCACGTTTTGTTTTTCTCTATAGCCTTTAACTCTTCCATCATCGCTTTTTTCCATTCTCTTATAACTATACCTATTTCCATGTCAATGTTTCTGCATCAGCCAAGAACGCAGAGTGCACAAGCTCACCAGTACTGGTTATATCGTTGTCTTCAAAGATTTCATAATCTGTGAGTCTAGTGGACGAAAATCTGGTTCTCTGTGACCTTCTATTATGAGATCCATCATCTGTAATGATGTTTTTCGTAGCAGAGGTTTTGTTCTCTAGCCAACTTGGCACAAAATCTGGTTGCAAATTCATTTCACATTCTTTCCAACTCAATGTTGCAGCCTCATCCACTATCACATCTTTGCTTATAACAATCTGCTTCTTTTTTGGGCTGTATAATCTGTATGCTCCTGTTGAATGATATCCAACTAAGACAAAAGTCTCACTCTTGTCATCCAACTTCCTTCTTCTTTCATCTGGAACATGTTTATAACAAACAGATCCAAAAATTCTCAAATGGTGAACCACGGGCTTGCTTCCTGACCATGCTTCTTCAGGTGTACAATATGGTAAAGCCTTGGTTGGACTTCTATTCAACAAATAAGCTGCAATAGATACAGCTTCTCCCCACAGATAATGAGGTAACTTCTTCCCTTTGATCATACATCTAGTCATGTTGAGCAACATCCTGTTTCTTCTCTCAGCTAACCCGTTATGTTGAGGTGTATATGGAGCAATGACTTCATGTATGATTCCTCTATCATCACAAAATTCACCAGTCTCTTTTGAATTGAACTCACCTCCACCATCTGTTCTAAACATTTTTATCTTCAAACCAGATTGTCTTTCTACTAAGGAACAAAACTTCACAAAATATAAGAATACTTCTTTCTTTTCTCTTAACAAGTAAATCCAAATTTTCCAAGTCCATTCATCTACAAAAATCAAGAAATACTTGTTACCTCCAATTGATAGCACATCGAATGGACCACACACATCTGAGTAGATCACATCAAGAGGTTGCTTTGCTCTCTTGTGTGCATACTTCTTGAACTCCTTTCTGGTTTGTTTCCCAATAGCGCAGCCTTCACATACTTTGCCAGGGATGGATATTAGTGGAACTACCTTCACCATTTCTTTGTGTTTCAGAAGACCCAAACTCTTAAAGTTTAGATGTCCAAATCTATAGTGCCATAACCATCCTTCTTCTTCAACATTCACAGTAGATAAGCATTGAACTGCTATAGTATTTAGATTTGAGGACTGAACGTTGCTTTCTGTCAAACACTTCTATATAATTTTGTTACATGGACATTGTATATCCTTTCTCCAGAAGTTTCCCCAGACTCAGCAAATTATTCTTCATTGTGGGAACATATAAAACATTGTTCATATATGTTGGTTTGCCATTTCTGCGTGAAACCAACACTCTTCCAGTTCCCTCAGCCATGATTGTGCTATTATCAGCAAATCGCAAGCTGCTCTTTATACTTGTGTCAATATCTATTAACCACTCCCTTTTTCCTATCATATGATTGGAACAACCTATGTCAAGATACCAACACGTGTCATCTTCTACATGATTCATGGTACTCATCAACAACACGTGGTCTGAATCTGTTTCACATGCCTCTTCTTGTGCCAGATTTGCTTCATCGTTCTTGCTGTTTTTCTTCACCATTTCATTGTGCCAACATTCTGAGGCATAATGTCCATATTTGTTACACGTATAGCACTGGATGCTTCTTTTATCATAGTATTTCTTGCCTCTGCCTCTACCATTGGACAACCTTCCTCCTCTTCTATTTTCTTCCTTCTAATAACTACCAATTTCATCACCAGATTCTTTATACGGCTTCTAGCTTTGCAATCCAATCTCCTATTTTCTTTATACGGCTTCTTCATCTCATCTGTATCATTCTTTGAAGGTTCTTTGACACCTTTCTTCACAATTTCATCCACTTCTTGGAAACCAAGAATTGCATCCATTTTGACACACCAATCATCATATCCTTTGCCATCAAACACCGGTAGATTACTTGAAATCATCCCTCCAGTAGCCATCAAAACTTCTCCACGAAGCTCTCTTCTCTTCTGCATAGGTTTTCTGGGACCTCACACCACTTCTGACAGGTTTTCGCAACCTTGCTCTGATACCACTGTTACGGATTGATTATGATACAAAAGAAATATAGAATGACAGAGATTGAGAAACTGAGAGCTATTTCTCATTAATGAAGGAATGGTACAGACAAGAGTGTATAAGCAGTACAAAATAACAATACTGCAGACTAACAGAATTTTACAGTTATTACAGTTAGAAGATATTTGGATTAACTCAACAATCTCCTCATCAACCCCTTGAACTATTATCCAACTCCATCTTCAATTTAACCTCGGTCTATTAACATGCAAATGTTTGAATTTTTTTTTATGTTGAAACTTTTCTTATCTAAAGATAAATTCAGAATTTGAGTATTTTTGTTTAGATTCAACTCTTAACTACTGAAGGAGTTTGATGACATCTTTCCTAGTTTTATATTAAGTAGACATTTTAGGTGGAGTTGAAGAATGTATTAGAATGAAGTTTGGTGTGGTGTGTTCAAACTTTATTTTTTTTTTAATTGTGAATTTTTTTTGTTTTATTGATAAGGTTATTTTGGCTTATCAGTGAGTTAATGGTGTTGGATTTTTTTCAATGGACTTAAAATTTGGAAAATTTAGGATACAATTTTTATTTTTTTTAATTCAATGTTTAAAAGTCTTGGGAGTGCAGTCATATAAAAGTTGTCAAGATCCTCTAAGTGAACCTAATTGTATTTTTACATTTGGGTGAGTAGAATTGGTTACTGTTTGAGGGTTTTTTTTTTTGTTTTAGTTCTATAAATTACTTTTGGAGGATGAAAAGGAGGTTATGTTATGAGTTAGGGATCATGACTAATTTGTTGATATGATGCTGGTAGTTTGTATGAAAATATGACATTTAAACTTGGTTATTTATTGTTAATATTTTTTTAGTACTCGTAATTGTATTAGATTTTCACAGAAAAATATTTTCATCGATTGAGGTGTACCTATGTGGTTGAATCGTTACTATGAAAAATTTGTTAATTTAGATAATTGCATTGAAGTCTAGGAGATAGGGATTAAGTTGTTGTAGAAGATTTGTTGATATAAATATTTGTGCCAAATTTTCAGTTAAAAGGATATGTTTGCCTTTGTGAAAAATGTATGGTTAAAATCACATCTAAGAGAAGGTGAATTTGAACTTAAAAATTAGCATCGTGTAAGTAAAAATTTCTTTTCAAAACTTTGATGAAGAGGATAAAAATAAGCAATGGTAATTTCTACAATGAATATCAAAGAAAATCATGATAATATATGATCAAGAAAAAAACACTAGTGCAGCGAAGAGAAACGACAGTAGTTGTTTTTGACAATACGTTTCGGTTGTCGAACCGAGGCATATCCTGGCAAGGTAAAAAGGTAGGGACCTTTTCGCCTCAGTTCCAACCGAGGTAATATTTCAAAGGGTACTGTCTCGGTTCATCAGCAACCGAAGTAGTAAGGAAGAAAAAAAAAAGAGGGGGAGGGGTTATTACCTCGGTTCAATCGAGGTAATAATGTGGACTTATGAGAGCGGTTCTAGCTTCAACCGCTGCCAAAGCCCTATTTTTAAAAAAAAAAATTCTCGTGCACCCTATGCATCGGTTGTGGCTGAACCGAAGTCATAAACAAGTTTTCTACCTCGGTTTTGTCTTCAACCGAGGCCTATTCTCCTACAGTGTTTTTTAATAATAGGTCTTTTTTTGTGATATCCACTATCACAAAAATAGACCTGCATATCAAACAACAAAATAACAACACATATTCAACACAATAGTCAATATTTACATCACATAATGTTTAAAGCATAATGTACAAAGTCTAATAACAATAAATCAACATGTGATAATGTTTTGCAAGTGCCTTCCTTAGCTATGTAAGTGGCTTCCTAGGAAGTAAAATTGGAGTCTTGAATCTCTACACAAGACACATGATATTAATTAGTGTATATGAATTTCATTTGAAGCCTTGTATGGGAGAAGATGTCGAACACCTTTGTGTTGGTATCACGATGGGGAAACGGTGACAGTGGGGCCTGAGTTGTTGCATCAAACCACAAAGAAGGTAAAGTTGATTCAGGAGCGAATGTGGGCAACTCAGAGCAGGCAGAAATCTTATGCAGATAAGAGAAGGAGACCACTAGAGTTCGAGACAAGAGATCATGTGTTTCTACGTGTGACATCGACAACTGGAGTTGGAAGAGCTATTAAGTCAAAGAAGTTGTCACCGAAGTTTTGTCGGACCGTATGAGATTCTTAGGAGGATCAGACCGATAGCTTACGAGGTAGCGCTACCACCACAGTTGGCGAACTTGCATAATATGTTTCATGTATCTCAGTTGAGAAAGTATGTTCCTAATGCGACTCATGTGCTAGAGGCAGATGACATCCAAGTTAGAGAGGATCTCACTTTGGATGTTGGACCAGTGCGGGCGTTAGAAAAGCAAACTAAAAACCTAAGAGGAAAAAATATACGCATGGTGAAGGTGCTTTGGAATGAGGGGACTCAGGAAATGACTTGGGAGTTAGAAGAGCATATGAAGAAAGAGTATCCGTATCTTTTTCGGAATAAAAACATTTTCGAGGACGAAAACTTTTGAAGATGGAAAGATTGTAAGACCCTAAAAATTATAGAACATAAATATAGTATTATATCTTGGTCTACCTTTAAGATTACTAATTATCGTGTTTTCACAAAGGTTTTATAGACGTTGGTGATAACTCCTAGTTGAGCTAGTGATTTTGTATTCTAATTTTACCGAATAAATAAATAAATTATTTGTTTTATTAAATTACTGTTTGATATACAATGTGGTATGGATATTTGTATGTCTTTTGTGTGTACTAATCAAATGAAAATTTGTAGCATAATGATTACGAATTTGTGCCTTTATTTTAATGGTAAGGGTTCAAACCTTTACTGTGGAGCTTAGGTTAGAAATGGTTGTGCTTTGGTTATTAATTATTTTATTCATCATGGAGTCTACGTGCTTTAAAGGAATTAAGGTGTGGTGCCGAGAAAAGTTATTAGTGGGGCCACTTAGTTCAGTTAAAACTATGGTTAGTAACAATGTGAATAAAAAAAACAAAATCGGAGAGTTAGTTTTTTAGTGGTTTTATGAATATCTTTGCCGAAAAGAAAGGCAACTAGGGGCGAACCGTTAGGGTTAGTGGAATTATGGGTTATTAAAGTAGAGAGGTTAAGGGAGATTATTTTATTTCTGGTTACAAAGTTTGGAAAACAGAGAGAAAAGTAGTGAGCGCATTGTGAGATAGTAGCTAGAAAATCAAAAGAGTAGTTTGAAGTTACTTGAGGCAAGAACATGAGCTTGAAGGAGGTGAATGTTTTGGCTGGAAACCTTGGGTAAAGAAAGGAATTTAGGATCCACTAGTGTAAAAACAACGTATAACGTCACACGTTCAACGTCGAACCACTCAATAGCCAAGGTTAAAAATGACCGGTGGTATTTTTGTAAATAAATGCAATTATTAAACATCGTTTATAATTGTAATTCGACGTAAAATGATATAAAATGTCGAATGCCCCAGTGTTAGACGTCAAAAGGTTAGTGAATTCAATAAAAAATTGAGCGGGAGATTGAAAATTCATTCACTTTATCTTAGCACGTGAGACCCTCTTCTCTGCTCAAACTTTTCTCGAACGAAGTTTGACGACTATCACATGTAATCTTTCTTTCATTTGATACAAATGCATGTTAATTTACTACTTTAGGTATGATTTTCGTTAATTTTGACCTATTATTTTCGTGTTCTTGTCCTTCATAGGCGCATTCTGCTTTCTCTCTCACCTGTGGCAACACTTTATTCCGATGAACTAAGGTTAATTTTCATTTTCGTTTTCGTTTTGAAGAACTTATTTGTTGAACTTGTTTGTTGTTATTTTTTGTTGAACTTGTTTGTTGTTGTTGTTTGGTTGAACTTGTTTGTTGTTGTTGTTTGATTGAACTTGTTTGTTGTTTGTCATTGTTGTTTGTTGTGGATACTCTATTACACGTTCATAGTTCATGCTTTACAAAATACTAAAAACTGAAATTTGTTGTTTTTCTGCTTTTCAGGTCTCGTAGAGTTGTAAAAAAGGATCACGATTAATTAAAAAGAATAAAAAAATTGATTAACATCGTTTATTGATAAAATTCGACGTTAAATTTAACGTCGAATTTTTTAAATTTGACGTCAATTTAACGTCTCCTGATATGACATCGTTCTCGAATTCGACGTGAAAGGCCTAAAATATTCGACGTTGTATGCTGTTTTTGTACTAGTGATCATCTAAGGTAAGGGAAGCTGACCATTGTTATGTGTTTAGTAATTGTTATTCTCCACTATTTTTCTCGCTATGCTCTATCTCAATACTACTTGTTATTTGATCAAAACATGATATAAACTATAGTGCACGGTTCCATGAACACAAGGTTTTTCGTAATGTAAGATAAGGTTATAAATTCCTTTCGTGGTAGGGTTAGATACACATGTATCATATTTAGAATATATAATATTGTTTTCATTGCATTGTGATGTTTGTAGTATTTGGCATGACATGTAATGATATGAATTTGATGTTAGATATGAATCTATCTTCACACAATACATGCAGAGATGTTTTGTGGGTGGTGACTGATGACCATGTCGTTCCTTTTTATAAGGCCGTGTTGAAAGTATTGGAGTTTTTACTCATAAGTTTTGAGAAGCAGGGGAGATAGATCTGAAGCTACGCTGGAGGATGACTCGAACTGTCCTGTTTTGGTGAACGGGTATCCTGTTTTGGTGAACAGGTGTCCTGTTTTGGTGAACATGTTTTATATGATAGAGTACAAAAAGACAATGTGTGTCTTCTGGATTTATTTGGTTGTGGTGTACTTAATTGAATATGTCATGTTAACAATATTATTTTGTTAACTAATAATTGATGTGTTGATGTTTTATTAGATGATGAATATGGTAGCTTACCCTTATTGTTTGTGTGTGAATGCGATGATCGTATAACTCATGTTGTTATACGGGAGCAGATGTTAATACAGATGTTCCAGTTGATGATTAGAGCGGAAAGAAGTCGGGAATGTGTCGCAACCAGATTCGCGACGGGACGACGATCCAAAAAGAAAACAGGTTTTGAAAAGAGATTTGGAGTCGCCACCATAGTTTATTATGGAAAACTACGGAAAAACCTCAAAACGATAAAGCACGGTCCACGAAAACCAAAGATTGGGTTCGGGAGTCGGTTACGCGTGGGGAAGGTGTTAGCACCCCACAACGCCTGCCCTAAGGCAGTACCTTTAACTAAATGCACGAATATGATGTGGTTTTCAAAATGTTTAATTATCCCCTAAAATAAAATTCTAAATAAACAAAACATATTTTTTTAGTTTTTTGGGCCCGACAAGGATTGACCTTGCTCCTACGTATTCTCATTCAAAATGAGAAATCAGGGTTACGTAGTTCTAGTTGAAAGACTGTTTGTTTGTTTGAAAATGTTGATGTTTTTAATTTTTGAAGATTTTATGTTTTTTATATTTTTGATAAAAAAAAGAAGGTAATGAGTACTAGGCCGACGCGGACGGTCGCACGAGTACTCATACCTTTAACATGATATTTAAATATTTTTAATCATCTTTTTTTTGTTAAAAGAGAAATAACGATATTAAGCACTAGGACGATGTGAACGATCACACGAGTACTCATACCGTTATCTACTTATTTAGGAAGACTTGAGAGTATTGAGTGCTAGGCTGATGCGGACGATCGCACGAGCACACATACCCTCGTTTAATATTACGTAAATAAGAGAGAAAAGTATTGAACACTAGGACGATGCGAACGATCACACGAGTATTCAACCTTTAAACGTATTTTTTGAAATTTTATTTAAGAAAAGAAAAGGTTTTTAGCACAAGGAAGACGCGAGCGGTCACACGTGCGCTTAAACCTTTAAATATTTTTGTAATAATTTTTATAAGAAAGAAGAAAAGGTTTTTAACACAAGGACGACGCGAGCGGTCACACGTGTGCTTAACCTTTAAAACAAATTTTTATAATTTTCTATTTTATATGTGTATATAAGTAAAATTATTATATATATATATTTTGAAATAAGTGGATATTTAAAAGAAATAAATAAAATAAAGTAATAAAATAAAAAATGAAATGAAATAAGATAAATAAAAAGGCAAATGAATAATTAAATAATAATAAAAAATGGGGGTACCAAAATAAAAATAAAATAATGTCGAACGGTCAGTCGAAAAGCTTGGATAACGAACGGTCCGTGGTAAAGGCCGAACGTATGTTGGGAAAGGATTCAGAGTCACGAGCGCTCGTTGGGGAGAATTTGACGAACGTACGTTGAGGAAAAAAAGACTGAGTGACGAGCGTTCGTTGGGTGATATGACGAACGTACGTTGAGTACAGGAAGGTAGATGACGAGCGTTCATTGGATGATGTGACGAACGGACGCTGAGAAGAGGAGGCTAGTCGACGAGCGCTCGTTCGGGACGAGCGTTCGTTGGGTAGATGAGGTGGGATGACGAACGCTCGTTATGGAAGAGCGTTCGTTAGGAAGATGTGGGAAGTGGAGGCCGAATGACGAGCGCTCGTTTGGGACGAGCGTTCGTTGGGAAGATGAGGCTGGATGACGAACGCTCGTTATGGACGAGCATTCGTTGGGAAGATGTGGCTGGTGGAGACCGAATGACGAGCGCTCGTTTGGGACGAGCGTTCGTTGGGAAGATGAGGCTGGATGACGAACGCTCATTGAAGAAATGACGAAGGGACGCTTGGAACGAACGCTGAATAACGAGCGCTCATTAAGGAAAGATGGCGAACGGACGCTAAATGACGAGCGTTCGTTGTGGGGAGATGGCTAACGGACGCTAAATAACGAGCGTTCGTTGTGGGGAGATGGCTAGCAGTCGCTAAATAACGAGCGTTCCAAAAGAGGCCAAAGATTCCCGGACGTACGCTCATTTCTGGGCCTGGCCCAGTTGAATGGTTTCTAACCTAGAATTTCCTAGGGGTTCAGGAGGTTCATCCTCATTCTCCACTCCCCAGCCCACGCCTTCTCTAGAGACCCAAGGTCTCTTGCTTGGCACCACAAACTCACTGCCGCCTCTGCCATAGCCGGCCACCGTCGCTTCAAATAGAATGCGCCTTGGCCTCGCCGGCGACACCTCGCGCCACCAGAACCACCGTCAGCCAAGACATCATCGTCTTCACTCTTCTCTCTTCGAAAACCAGCAATTCTCAGGGAGGGTTTTCCTCCACCTTCATCTCCGATCCGTTCGTGTCATCATCAACCATTAACATCAACTTTTACCATCCATGACGAACACAAACACTGCCACCATAAAGCTCCCCGTGCCTATCCTCGTCCTCCTCCTCGGCCACCTCCACGGCCACCTACACGGTCACCATCACACAGCGGACTATCACTTCCAAACCGCCAACCACAAAGCAACCAGCCACTCCTTTCCTCTCAAGCCTACCCAAAGTAGAGGCATTAAGCCATCGCCTCCAGCGTCCCATTCATCCTCACCGAAAGAGCTAATCCAGTGGAGGAGATTTCGAATTTCAGAGGGTCCATTTG